TAGCGGTCCTTGCTAAGCAGATGTCAGCCCTATAATGGCTTCTCTTCCTGAGCCCACGTGGGATCGTTCTCCCAAGTCACGCCTTTCCTCCCTCTTGCGCAGGCTACTCTGTAGCTGTTCAAATCGGCGTAAAGTACGTCTGTTCTGGGCTCAGGGAGATCAGCATCGGGGGGAAGATGCAGTTTGCTCTGCCTCCTTCTGAGTAGAACTTGCAGCTCCCTCTTTCTCATGACTCTCTGTCTCTGATAAAGGTCCAGGCGTTTGCTCAACGTGCTGGGGCTCAGAGGAAGACGCAGTAGCTGGCTCAGCCGTCCCTGTATTGGGTTGTGGGGTCGACGCTTGGGCACTGGATGTCAAGTGTAAGGTCTCCTCGTGAGTCACTGTTTCTGTCGGAGCTTCATGCACGACACTTCCTGACCTCCGAGCAGCAACGGGAGCAAGACGAACGCTTGGAAAGGCTGTGACAAAGGAGCTAGAAAAGATCATCACACACAAGGGTGTTTCACTAGAGACCAAGGCTGGGATCCTCCCCGTGGAAGCCGGACAGGACAGAAAACCAACAGGAAGAAAATGGATGCGTCTGAACACAGTGCTGGGGGAGAGCTTTGCAAAAACTCTGGACTGACTGAAAGACAACCAGTGGGTGCTGGGCAAGCCAACGCAGGGCGTTTCCTGGAAGCAAAAATGACCAAACTGGGGGAGTCTTGCGTCGGGCACATTATGAGAAGGCCAGACTCCCAGAGGAAGACAATGGTGCCAGGGAAAATTGGAGGCAGAGGAGAGGAAGACCGAGAGGAAGATGGGCCCCACGAAGGGAGCCACAGCCTTGCATTCACAAGAGCTGAGCAGAGCTGCAAAGGGCTGGCCTCCGGGGGGTCTCATTGCCAGGGCTGCCGGAACCGGCTGGTGACTTGATGGCCTGAAGTGAGGAACACCCTTGGTCAAAGGGGAACAAAGAGCTTTGTGCTGCTGGTGGTCCTGCACGTGCGATACAGGAGAGCAGCAGAAGCACCCCCCACGCACACCGGCACGCGCACGCAAGCAGAGGCGGGTCCCTCCACCAGACACTCTTGACTGGCATTTCTGGCAGCGGCAGGGAGGGTCACGGGGCTTTACAGGACAGCAGAGCTGCTGCTTGCCCCTGTACAGCGCCCTCTCCTTTCCTCCCCGGACGCCCAGAGCCCCCTCCCTGCCCCTCCCCCGCTTGGCTCTCATGCAGCACCTGTGGAGACCTGCAGGCCTGGCTTGTGCTGCGGGGCCACAGCCATCCAGCCCCCAGCTGGCCACCTGCCACAATTCAGACGCATCCTTCTCAGCGCATTCCAGCGAGCACAGGGTTGTGGGAGAACTCAGTCACAAAACATAGATCCTTGAAAACACGCGAGTCCTGTCCTGGTGGGAGAAGGCTGTGATGGCCAAACAAGGACATTCGGAATCCGAGTAAACCAGCAGCCACCTCCTGCAGTCGGAGGCCCACGGCCAGCTTCTCATCTGGTGCTGTTCCCTAACACTGAGCTAAACCCGCTCGCAGGAACCACAGGCTGGAAGAGGCGGAACCCTCCCCGGAGCAGGGACACTCGCTTTCAAGACAAACAGTGACTCAGCCTCAGTGATGCTAAAGGAGCCTTGGCCAAGGGGAAGGCCCAGGATCACATCTCACAACACCTGGCAAGCTCTTGCTGGGAATCCAGATGACTCGCCTGCACCGCAGCACACCAGTCCTGCATGAGGCAGCAGGCACCTTGGCCAGCCTTCTCTAACTACAACTCAGCCAGCCGGGCAAATGGATGGGAAGGGTGGCCTGACGTGACCTGCCCCCCGCACACTGGCAGGGGGGCAGGGGGGACTGAAGTGTAAATGCTACAGATTAAACTGGTGCAATTGGTCTGGTTAGGTAGGGGTTCATTTCTCTGCCTCATCAGCTCAAAGGAATGGCAAATGCACACAGAAATGTAAGCAAGACAGCAAAAAGAGCCATTCATATGCATAAAGTCATGAAATTCAGAAATCATGAAGAAAATAATCAACCCCTGTAAACATTCTGGAGTGGATTATAAACCAGGCAATCTGTAAACAGCTTGACAACAATGTGGTGATTACAGGAAGCCAACATGGATTTTTCAAGAACAGATCCTGCCAGATTAATCTGATCTCATTTTTTAAATTGGGTAACCTCCCTTGTGGACTGTGAGAGTGCTGTGCACATAACCTGTCTTGACTGCAGCAATGCTTCTACAAAGCGATAAGCAAACTAGCTACAAGTGGGCCAGATGGAACGACTGTCAGATGGATCCACAGTTGGCTAGGAATCGGACTCAAGGAGTGCTTGTCAGCGGCACCTCCTCCAACTGGGGACAGGAAGCAACTGGGCACTGCATTACTCAGTCCTGACCCCAGGACTCTTCAACTGGGGAGTTTTCATTAATGAACTGGATGAGGAAGTGCAGGCAAGGATGATCAGATCTGCAGATGACAAAATGCTGGAATAGCAAATACCCTAGAGATAAGATAGATTCGAATGCTGGGCAGAGAACAACAGAGTGAAATTCAAAAGGGACAACCATGTGATGCAAATGTTAGTTTGGGCTGTTCCTCTGTATTCAGCACTAGCCAGACCTCACCTGGAGGACTGTGTCCAGCTCTGGGCACCTACTTTTTAACAAGATGCAGAAACACTAGAAATACCAAGGGCAACAAAGAGGATTCAGGGACTTCAGGCAAAGGAAAGACTGAGAGAACTGGGCATGTTCAGCCTCAAGAAGAGGAGTGATATGACAGCACTCCACAAGTACAGTATCTGAAAGGCTGTCACAAAGAGGAAGGACAGGATCTCTTTTTGTTCATACCAGAATGCAGGGGCACAGAATAATGGACATAAGTTAAAAGAAACCTGATTTAGACTAGACACCAGGAAAAATTTCCTTGCTGTCAGAGCAGTATACTGGAACCTGTTACCTGGGGAAGCTGGGAGCTCTCCTTTCCTGGAGACATTCAGAAAATAGAAACAAAGAAACAGAGCAAGTCAGAAGGGGTCTCCCGAGCCATCTAGTCTGACCCCCAGCTCCAGCTGGCTCCACTCATGACATGCCCACCATGTGCATGTATAGCCTATCTCTGAACACCCTCACCGATGGGGCCTCAATGACATTTCGTGGAAGTCCATTCCACGCCCTCGGGGTCCTGACTGTCAGAAAGTACCTCCTGGCATACAAATCAAACCTTGGTTCACCGAGCTTTGCTCTGTTGGAGCGTGTCCTGCCTTCCTCTGCAGGTCTCGACCCACCTCCATGTGACACCCCCTTACATATGTATGTGTCGTCAACAGATCCCCTCCGAGTCTCCTCTTCCCCAGGCTGAAAAGACCCAGTTCCCTCAGTCTCTCTTCATACGGCTTCCCCTGCAAACCGGCCACCAACCTTGTGGCCCTACGCTGCACTGGCTCCAACCTGGCTATATCCTTCCTGTAATGAGGGGCCCAAAACTGAACACAATACTCCAATTGTGGGCACACCAGAGTCATGTAGAGTGGTAGTAATACCTCTCTGGATCTGGAAACCACACTTCTGGCTATGCAACCAAGGGTGGCATTCGCCCTCTTGACCACCGCATCACTCTGCTGACTCATGTTTAGCCTGCAGTCAACCAGCACCCCGAGGTCCCTTTCACAAGTGTTGCTCTCCAGCCACTTGTCACCTAACCTGTACTTATGACAGCTATTCCTATGCCCCAAGTGCAAGACCTTGCACTTATCCACATTGAACGCCATCCTGTTGTCTCCTGCCCACTTCCATAGTCTGTCCAGATCCTTTTGGATCCGGAGTACCTGCTCCTCAGTTGTGGCCACTGCCCCCGTTTTAGTATCGTCTGCGAAATTGATCAGCAGACCGTTTCCCTCTTCTTCCATGTCATTGATGAAAAGATTGAACAGGATCGGCCCCAGGAGAGCCCTGGGGGACCCGCTCATCACCGGCCGCCATCCCGATGATTCCCCTCTAATGGCTACCCTCTGCTTTCGGCCAGTTGGCCATTAATGTTACACCAACGGGGTTGAATGGGATGGTGCAACTTAAGTGCCTTGCAATACCACGGGTTGGACCTGGCAGCTTTCTGGCCCCTTCCAACTCTACTTTCTACAATCCTGTAACCACTGCAGCTTATTAACATGCCTAAGACTAATGTAGATCCAGCCAAGGCATTTCCCTGCCAGAGCGATGCTTTGCTGTTGTCCAGCTGCTGTTGGATCTTTTCTTGGGGCATGAGGATGGACACTTTCATTAGAGTGCCTGGTGTGATGAAAACACAAGGCCACTGTCATGGCAACGGATATGTGCACTCTCCCTGTTGCAAGGCAAGGTATATTTGGGGCATTTGCTCCCAAACAGGTGATTCAGAGCCATTCACTTCCTGACAGCTGAAAAGGGCCAGAACTGCCAGAAAAGTCAATTTGTAGACTGAGAGAGAAACCGACTCTTCCTGGTGCTGGGAAAAGAAACCGCGAGGAATCTGGAGCTGGTGGCCCTCTCCTGCTTGTGAACTTGCTGCGACCCTCCCTTTCCCCTTCTCAAGCCGCCCCAGGGCCCCGGAGTCCAACAGGTCCATCCATCCACCGCCCCTTGCCAGCTCGCTCTTCTGGGACTGCGGCGGATCCCGTTCAGTGGAGGATTTTGCGTGGGACAGGGCTCTGGGGGCGCGGGAGCATTCGCCTGCTTGCGCAGTTCATGTCGGTGCCAAACCCGCAACATGGCTGCGCAGGGCGGGGGCGCGTTGGCGCGCGTGTCCACCGGCCTTCGCCCTCTTCGCTCCTCCGCTCGCGCGAGCTGCCAGCCCGGCAGTCGATCGAGGCAGCCCCGGCCCTCCCCGCCCTGGAGGCAGCGGGCGGGTCTGCGTCCCGACCGCGGAGGCGGAGCTGCCGCGGCGGCGTGTTGACGAAGACCGGAGCGGAGCAGCGCAGAGGGACGCCGGAGCGAGCGGCAGCCGCGACCCGGCCCGGCCCGGCCCGGCCCGCCACGGACGGCCGCGCCATGGCCGGCGCTCCGCCGCCGCCACCTCTGCCGCTGCTGCTGGTGCTGCTGCTGGGCGCGGCCCGCGCGGCGGGAGGTGAGCAGCTTCGCTCGGGCCGGCGCGACCTGGGCCGCGCGTGGGGGCTCGCGCGGCCCCCTGCCCCGGGGCGCCCCGACTGCCGCCCGCGGCGGAGGGGGCGGGCGGACGGGCCACGGGGCGGCGGGCGCGCTCGTCACGTGCTCAGGGGCACCGGGCTGCCCGCGGGCCCGCGCCGGCCCCTCCCCTGGCGCGTGCGGACGGCGGGGGCGGGTGCACGTGCCCTGCTCGCCCGCTCCCCCAAGCGCACGCGATTGGCCCACGCTGTCTCTGGGCCTGCAGCGCGACTCCTATTGGTCGCCCTCTGGGGTGATGTCATCTCCGGACCGCCGAGCGCTGCGCTGTAAACAGCTTGGCCCCGCCTTGCGCCCTTCCTCGGCGGGGGCGCCTGGGAGGCCCCGCCCCTCACCCTGGCCCCGATCCGCGGCGCAGCCTGGGAGGCGGCCTGCCTGCCTGCCTGCCTGCCGCCGCGTAACTGCGGAGCCGCGCCCCGTCCCGGGGAGCGCAGCTGCCAACCAGCCCCCTGGTGGAGAATGGGCGAGGGCTAGAGCCCAGCGGCTTCCCAGAGCTGGAATGTGCTTGAAAGTCTGCTCTGTTTGTGGCTCCTGAGAAGCATCCAGCCCATTCCTTCCTTCTTTCTTTATTAGATGTATGCCGCATTTTCCTTTTCAAAGAGCTCAAAGTGGCGTGCAGCATTCTCCCCCTCCTGGTCTCCATCTTCTCTCCACAACACCCCTGTGAGGTAGGCTGGGCTGAAAGTGTGCCCAAGCTGCCTCGCGGGCCCCACGGTCACCTGAGCCCCCGCCCTGCACTCCTCACCACCACGCTGGCTCTCATGAGTCCAGTGAGAACGTGCTGGGAGCTGTTTCCCCACTGCAGGAGCAAAGTGGTGCCCTGCTGCTGAGGGCGTGAGACTGAGGCTGACTTCCCGTTTCCTGCCAGATGAGACCTCCACAGGGTCTCCAGCGCTTACGGCCAGAACTGCCACTGCGGAAGGGGCAGACCAGATCTTCGAGCCTGCCTACAGCCTGCCGTCCCAGAGCGAGTCAGCTGCCGTCCAGCCGGTTGTGGGGATCGGCCAGAGAGTCAAAATGCGATCCAGCGAAAAGAAGGACCTGGGCACCCTGGGTGAGAGCAGCTTCAGAAACCACCCTCTCGTGATGCTCAGCGCATGAGCTGGGGTTAACCTGGAGAGGTTTCCGGCGGAAATCTTGAGTGTATTCATTGGGCAGGGCCCAATGGGAGAAGGAGGGAATTGGGCTGGTTTCAGTTGGGTCTGGGCCCAGTTATGTCCCTGGAAAAGAGGTGAGGTGGTTTTAGGGTTGCCTGAGAAGAAGACGGGTGTGTGAAGCTTCCTGAGACTCTCAGCTGCCTTTTTCAAGCTGCCCTCCCCAGTCTGGGCCCTCCAGATATAGTGAACTGCAATACCCATCATGCTCCTGCAGCACAGCCCATGGCCTTAGGAGTTGCACTCAGACATCCGGAAGGAAGGCCAGGAGGGAACGCCAGACCTGCTGGCCCCCCAGTGGCAGGAGGAGCCCAGCGCAAGGGCGCCACCTGCTGGGTTTCCTCTGGATGCTCCCTGCGTGTGCCACTCTGCCGTCGTTCCGAGCGGGGAGGGGGTGCCCCAGCCCCCATGCCTGTCACCACGTGCCTCCCTTTCCGGTCCCGGGCTTCTCCTTGCTCATCCCATGGGATAAGGCGCGGAGAGTGAGCTCCTGCTCCGGTCCGCACAGGCTCCATGGCATGGCTGCTTTTTGCCTTGGCAGGTGGGGGCTGCAGACTGAACACAGTTGCGCTCCGCCTGCCTCAGACGTGCTGCTTCTGCCCTCCCGCCCGCTGCAGGTTACGTGCTGGGGCTCATCATGGTAGTGATCATTATTGGCATTGGAGCAGGAATCGTCGTGGGCTACGTCTACAAGAGGTGAATATGGGGTGGGGCCCTTTGTGCTGCGGGTGCAGGTTGCAGGCGTCACGTGCTGCAAGTCTCCAGTGTGGAAATGATCTCCAGGCAGAGTGACGGTACTTAGCCGTGCATCGTGGTGCTCCCAGTTCCGAATTGTTTCTTGGCTGTGATGGGCTCAATGGAAACCACGGCTCTCAGTGCAGTCTTACCTTGGTCTCACTCTCGGGTAATGGAGATGGGAGGTACATGAAGTGTTTTTGACATTTAAAAGTAGTACGAAACAACTGAGCATGATAGCTCCTAGATGACCAGGAGAAAGGTACCCTCCGGGCAGTGCAACAGAGCTGTCTCCTCTGTGAGCACAGAGGAGGTGTGCTCCACGGCAGCAGAACACCTGCTGCCCTTCAGGCAACCATATTGTACAGCGGCTAACATGGCAAATCATGTTACACAGACTGGATGAGAGGCTTGTGCCCCCAGGGCTTGGAAAATAAGCATCAGCACGGTGGGAAGGGCAGGGGAGGCTGAGGAGCCCTGCAAGAGTGGGCCAAGTCTGCTGGCTCTGGCATTCTGCTCACGTGTGGCTGGCCGGTCCCTTCATGGCCGTACCGCCTGACGCTGCCTGATGCTGCCCTAGGACCCCTACGGCATGGAATGGGCTTCCGTGGGAGGTGGGTGAGGCCGCATTGGTGCGGGTGTTCAAGGACAGGCTGGACGTCCACATGGTGGGCACGTCGTGAGCGGAGCCGGCTGGAGCCGGGGGTCAGACTGGATGGCCCGGGAGGCCCCTTCTGACTCGCTCGGCTTCTTTGTTCCTGTGTGTCTGTAGCAGCGTGTGGACAGCAATGCCGCAGCCTTGCTCCAGGCGGCTTGGGCTGCCGCTCCCGACATGCCCAGCATCCTGGTCAGCAGTGGTGGGAGTTTTCTGCCCAGTGGACATGTATGCTTCCCAATCAAAACTGGCCGCTTTTGGTGGGTCATTCTCACGTGGACGACACAAAGGCCCTGACTCTCGTCCGTGTGACCTGTACCTACACACAGACATACAGGGAAATGGCGGTTAGTAATCAGGATTAATAATAGAAAGATGCAGCTTCCAAAGCTTTGCCTTGTGCTTTTAAACACCCGAGCAAATGGCCACGGCGGCATCTTGTCCTGCAAGTCCCACCGGCTCAGGGTTTGCTACACCGGCGTTGAGAGAACATGCAGCTGCTTAAATGCACCCCTGACTGATACCCACCTCTCCCTGCCTGTCTCTCATACTAGGGGGAGAGATCTGAAGATGGTACACGAGCAGAAGGCTGATGAGCGAGAGATGCAGCGGATCACATTGCCACTGTCGGCCTTCTCTAATCCAGCCTGTGAGCTTGTGGATGAGAATGCTGTGGTGGTGCACACCAGCCAGACCCCCGTGGAGGAAGTGCACGGTGGTGACGTGCCCCTGATGGGCCAAGCAGGCACCCCTGGAGCTTGAGGAGGGGGCCCAAGAGACATGCCCTGCTTGGGTCTCCCGAGGCAAAGGCCTCTCCTCCCCATTCGACGTGAGAGTTCATTTCTATTTTATCTTTTCTTGTTTGAGGAGGAATAAGGTGCCTGGGCACAGACAAGATGCCCAAGATGTGGAAGAAGTAGCTCATCTGTGGTCCCGTTACTGGGGTTGCGTCTCAAGCCATGTGAGTCCACATCAACGGTAGGACTTTCATCCTAAGTGAAGCTGCACCATTGATCTTCTGTGGATCATGTGGACTTGCTCTAGTGAGGATCTGGGGCAGCATCAAGTGCGGATGGTTTTCACCATTCATGGTGTCTGCAAGTTCCTTTAAGTGCAGGGCTGTGTAATGGGTGTGAGCTCTTTTTTTTAAGAGTCAGTATTTGAACATTTGAATGTAGGTTTTATTTTATGCACAAGTTGACTGCTGTTGCTTGGGAAGCAGTGTTGCAGCCCCTTAGTTAGTAAGAACTTCCTCTCCAAAAGACAGTCCAGGAGAAAGCTTGCCAAATGCTCTGGGTTGGCTTTTCTGACCAGGGCACAGGAGCTGAACCTTCTGCAAAGAGGCTTCTCTCCCGGGGGGCTCAGTTCTTTGAGACCACGGGCAACTTCTGCTGTGCCTGCAACTGAGAAATACAGGCTGCGGTGCTCGACAGCCTGCTCTGGATCTCTGGTATCACCTTCTAGAGTGGAGACAGATGAGCTCCCCTCCCTGCACCTTGGGACCCAAAATGCACCTCAGGGTTTGGCAGGAATGGAGAAACGAGGGCCAAAGAGTTCAGGCTCATTTCCGGCTTTCCAAAGGCGTATGTCAAGGAACTAGGTGTTGAAGGTTACGTTTATCCTAAAACCAGGAAGTGTTGCCCTGGAAGTGGAACAGTGCCAAGACTGAGCTAGATGGGCGTGTCAGGAGCCCACCCACGTATGGTGGTGCAAGTAACTCGGGCTTTCCATGAAGCTTGGCCAGGCCTTCTCTGCCTGAGCATAGCAGAGATGCTGGCGGCTCAGAAGCAAAATGGAATTCTCCCAGAAGAGCTTTTTTGTCGGGCTGAACGCATGCACACATCTGTTCTGCAGCAAGGACAAACTCCAGCCATAAAAAAAGCAAACACCTTTCACAGGACTCCAGCTGCCTAGGGTGGAGATTCCACGTAAGTCATGTTTATGCAAATTAGAAAAGAATTTTAAAAACATGTCTTAAATGCTTTTGGATACCATTTCTTTGTAAGTGTTTTAAATACCTCATGATTATAAAATAAAACTATTCAGGTTGTGAGTAGCATCCTGTTTGGAGGAGTCCATCATGTGGGGCCCTGTGCCCATTTCCCCCCACGCACGCCTTTCCAAGGGCGGTGGCCCATCCGCTTGCTGTCGGGCGAGCCAAGCACCACCATTGCGGTCCCAGAGGCCTCCTCTTTTCTGGTGTCCTGGGACAGGGATGTGGAACTGCCCGCTGACGTGGCTGCCTGGGTGGGCCCAAGGCAAGGCTTCTGTCCACCCCCACAAAAGCAAGAGGATGGGCATCCGCTGCGGATCTGCTGGGCTGCGCTCAGCTGTTGTCCAGAAGCACCATCCCGTGGAGAAGGATGGAGGCACTCCAGCAGGCACTGTGGCTGGGGATGCCATCCCCCCTGTGGAGGCAGCGCGCCCTCGGATCTCCAGGGGAGCAGGACTGCGTCGGAGAGCTGCTCTGGCTCCCCATTCCGGCCAGGCTGCCGTACCTGCTCCTTGAAATGCCACCTTGACGGGGGCTTCAGGAACACACCTGGGCTTCCCAGAGTGGCTCACTGGCTGCACTGCTTTCCTGATCCAGCTGTGAGGACCACAGTGCTGCTCAGTTTGCACTCTGGAAGAGTTACACTTTCCAGCCTTGCCCAAAAAGTTAGCAAGTGTCAGGTGCTTTAGGCTCTGCTAAAATAAAGCATCCCCCTTCTCTTCAATATGCCAGATAAAGTGTAGCTTCAGACCTAGGAATCATCAGCACATCACCTACAAGGTAAAAAGCAGCCATGTGGATCTGGCCCAGTTGCCCTTATTCTCTGGGGAGGAGACCCTCCGCCTCCACCAGGGCCTCGCCGCTTCCCCGAGGGCTTGCTGGATTCCTGCATCAGCTGAGATTCTGCTCTGATAGCAAGGCCTTTCTCCCCTCCATGCCAACACAAGACAAGGAAAGTTACTTTCATAGGATAAAGTTTATTGCTTTTAATTTAGTCAGACATTTTGCTGTGCAATGAAGAGTCCCTTGATCAATGTAAATTTCTCCCAGTCTCCCAATTTTTATGCAAATGGAGCAAAAGATGTATTAAATGCACTGGGCCAAGAGCCACCCCTCCCCCACACATGCCTGGCCTACCATTTGTACAGGTTGAGTCCCCCCCCCCCCGCCCCCAGGTAAATGCACACTTGAATGCTAAATGGCGTGCTGCTCTGGTTCTGCTCCCCTGCACAGGGACGTCTGGCCCTAGGGGGCTGCAGCGAGATGGGAGGACAGAGTGGGAAAGGGTAGCAAGAACCCGGGAGGAAAGGAGACCCGAAGCAGGTTGGAACTCAAATCTGTCCTCTTGGGTTTCCCTCACACTGAGTCTGGAAGAGGAGGGGGGAGAGGGGCAGCTAGCAAGGGAGAGCTGGGTGGAGATGGATGGCTTTCTTGTCCAAAGGCCTCCAGTGAAGGGCAGAGGTAGCGATATGGGGGGCCCTTAGCCTAGTGGCCCCAAAGAAGGGAGCTGCGCCGTTCCCAGCCAGCTGAATGTCATGTCAAGTTTTAAGGGCCTCTCTGCTCACGGTGCAGTGAAACCCTCACAGGGAGAGGCTGCTGGTATGCCCAGTGGGATTCAGGCACCCTCCTCCCCAGCCTCATGCGCACAGCACCGTGAGTGGCTCCTGAGCAATCCCTTTCACCCTCACAGCTTCTTTCCCAACAGGGCAGGCTGATGGAATGCCGGCTCTCATCCATCGCGCAGTGTCTGAACCTTTCCTTGGACGTGCCTGTCAGGTGAACAGATGTGGGAGCCTTTGTCACCAAGGGGATGTGCTGAGCTGTCCTGGGAGGAGTGCTTCCCAGTCCAACGGGCTTCGCTGGCCAACTCCTTCCCAACACTTTCCTCCACGGGTTCTGGTTTCATGTGTGTGCAGCCTGATTAGGATGCTGCTTCCAAGCCCAAACACTTTGTGCCATGCAAAGCAGTCTGTGTTCCTCACAGCTTGCGGTCTGTCAAGTTCTAAGGCACCACCACAGTAAGGTGTCCCCTGCAAACAGGGCCTCGGGAATTGTGTTTCCAAAGCAAGAATGTCGGTATTCAAGATGCCAACAGGAAAAGGCTCTCTTCTGGAGCCGGCCACAAATCCGTGGGATAAGAAGTGGCGGCGGTTGAAGGCAAGGTGGCAAAGCATGGCAGTGCCTTCTTGGCGCCCTGGGAAGGGCAAAAGATGGGCTCCTGTTTCCCAGCTGCCCTGTGGCAATCCACGAAAAGTTGCTGCTGGCCAGGAGGCCTAAGTGAGGCTTCCAGGGGGCTTGTCCCGGATTAGCCCGTGTTGCATGCTGACGTTGTGGTCCAGTTCCTCCAGTTCTGAGGGAAGAGGGATTCCCAGCTCTCCCAGGTAAAGGGAAAGAGCTTCAAAAGAATCCTCCAGTTTTGAAAACGGGGGCCTAGGAAGAGACAAGCGGGAAAAGGAGCACTTGGTCAAGGATGTGTCTGGTGCGAGGAGTGGGCAGACTGTCCCTCCGCTCAGGAAGGGAAGCGCTTTGAAAGGGCTTTGTGTTAACCTCCCTCCCGAGCCCCCACGGCGCTACGCCGGGCACAGGGTGTGTGTGCACACAGGCACTTTTGGAAGAGACTGGCGGGCGTGGCTGCTGTGAGCCAGGTGGGGATGGGCCCTCCAGCAACACGCGAGTCCATCGGAGCTGGCTGGGTCCCTTGCTGGGGGCTGCGGAGAGCAAACCCGGCTCCCCCCTCTTGGGACGCCAGGCAGGCGCCAGCACGAGCATCTCCCCTCGCGCCGCCCTTCTCCAGGCTAACCATACCCAGCCGCTTTGCCGCAGCCTGAGGATCATCGCACTGCCCTGCCCCAGACCCTCCGGTTGGCAGACCATCACACCCCTCCAGAGGGGACTCGGGGCTCTGGACCCCCCTGGCTGGCACAGCGCTTCATTTCACCCAGCGTCAAAGCGGTGGCTGCATTAAGCCGCCTCAAAATGCGTCCACCTTGTCGCAGCGGCACACGCGGCCACCGCACGTTGTGCTTGTGACCGGCTGCGGCCCAGGAGCCTTTCCGCGTGTCCGGCTGCCAAGCCAGGTACGGCCCCCCCCACCCCCCCCACCTTGTACCTGCACGCTGTAGTTCTACTGCTTGGCCTAAGTAAGCGCAGACACGCGCATTTCTCTCTGCTGAGTTCACTTTGCTCCTTCAGCCCATTTCCCCATTCTGCCAAGGCCACTTGGACATTACTCTCGTCTGCTGAAGGGCCCACTGCCCAGCAACATTCTGTGTCGAAAAGGACTCCCCTGTTCCACCCCTTCTTCTAAGGGGCCCCTGGATGAGGAGCACAGGCGTGGGGAAGCCAGTGCCCAGGGCACGCATCGGAGCAGGATCCCTGGCTGAGGGCTCACGGGGCAGCCAGAGGCCCCCTGGGCAAAGGGCACCTTGCCAAGACAATTGGAGCCACTCCCTGCTGGACAGGACGTCCTTTTAGCACCAGGCAGGCAGAGATGAGCGGTTGTCCGAGGAGGGCCAAACATCACCCCCCTGCTCCCGCATTCAAAATGCCTCACCTGCTTTCTGGCTCCAGCCCGCAGCAGATGGCAGCCAGAGGGAAGAATGCAGGGGGGCAGTCGGCAGGCACAAACTTCTCCCAGAAGAGCTTCACGTTGAGGCCAAAATCCAGGGTGCGGGGTAAGCAGTCCGGATCTGCATACACTTGTCCTATGATCTGGAAGAGGGCAATGAGGGGCGAGTGGCACTCCCCTGTGCCCGGGAGGCCCCAGGAGGGCTGGCACAGCAGGCTGCTCGGAACGCATGCAGCACCGGCAGAAACAGGCCTGGTTTACGACCAAAGGGTGTCAGCAAGCGTCAGCTGGCAAGAGTCCTCCTTGGTCCCACTTTAAGCAGCCTGAGCGCGGCCCCCGCAATCCCGTGCGCTTCTCCAGGAGTGGCTGCGGCGAGCAACCAGGCGGAGGGGGCTCTTCCCCAGAGCAAGTCCCCGCTTCCTAGGTGTGAGGCTGGGGGATGCCAGCTTTGCTCCAGACAAAGGATGTGGGGGAGCGAGGCAGCCCGCCCGGTCCCCCACAGCTTCCTGACAGGAGAATGGTTGGAAGCCCTTTGCGCAGCCTGGCACTCCCCGGGTACAGTGGGACTGCAAGCCCCAGTCCCCACAAGCGGCACGGCTGAGAGCCATGGAACCACAGCCCGGGAGGGCGCCAGGCCCGGAAAGCGGACTCGGAGCGCCTCGTCTGCAGCAACTAACCAGCTGCACCAGGGTCCAGGTGCCGAATGACCCCATGCAGTTCTCCGGCATTTACAAGAGCGGCACTGATACACAGGCCTGCACATCCCAGAAATGTACCTCGCAAAGCACGATCCCAAAGGAGAAGATGTCCACGGTCTCGTCGTAGCTCTGTCCTGCAGGGAGAGAAAGGAGCCGTCAAAAGGAAAGCCCCACGGAGGCATGAGAGAACGTGGAAGGCAGCACGGCTGCCTGTAAATCCCACACAGACGGGAGCCCCGAAGGGGGTTTGTCTCCTCAGGGATGCCCTCCTTTTATCCTCACTCTCCCACGGGCTGAGGCCTGAGGAGAGAGGGGCACTTTCCCAGCTCTCCCCTGTGAAAGCCATGGCTGACCCTGTGGCCTCTCCCTGCAGCCAGATCTGTGGAGAGGGACCACCCAGGTTGCTCAGTGAGGCCTCCATCACCAGGCAGGCTCCTTGCACAAGTACAATAAGAGAAACCAACACCAGCGTGAAAGCAGAATGATGACCGAGATCAAGGCAGAGTGGAGCCCGCTGGCTAATTCCCGGTGGGCCACCTAGCAGCTGGAGCCGGCTCGTGGGAGTCTGGCCAAGAACATGAAAGCCAAGGGACCGGCAACAGACTGTTTAGAGCCAGGGTTGCTTTACACAGTTTTGCTAGCTCTCCCAACTGCTCCTAGCTACTCTTTTGCAGTATTTTTCTGTAAATTCAAACAGAAAGATTCTGGTTTTAAGAAAAGAGGAAACTGCAGCCCCTTCTGTGGCTCAGATGGGGGCTGATGGCTGCTGGATGGATCGGTGCAGCAAGGCCAAGGATGGCATCTTCCTTGCTCATGGAGGAGGAGAGAATGCGCCCCGTATCCCAGCAGGAGGCAGCAGTGCTCCCCTTTCCCAGCCAGGGGCAGGGCTGCTGGCAATCCCCCACCCCCACTCGCAGCCTCTTTGAACAAAGGCTCAGCCACAAGATGGGCTTCCAGACTGTGACAGTGGAAGCAGGGACCTGCTGGGGGCGGGGCTCTCCCACCCTGGAGGCATTCAAGGTGCAGCTGGCCAGCCACCTGCGAGGGATACCTTGACTGGGCAGGGGGCTGGCCCCAGTGGCCTCGCTGGTCCCTTCCAACTTTACTGTTCTAGGACCCTATGATTAGAAGTGTCTCATTTCTCTCCTTGGCTCTCAAAACCCTCTCTGGGAAAAAGGAGACAGAACCAGCCCTGTGTTTTTAAGACAGGCCTCAGAAGCCTGCTCATGGCCTGGCTGGTAAAAGATTCGCCACTCTCTCCCAGAGGCTCAGACGCTGCCCAGGGAAGGAGCGCGCCAGCTCAGCCCATGGTCCTGGCACACCTGAGCACCCCATTCAGTGCACATCAGCTTCTGCTGCAGTGAAGGCATTGATCCAACACTGTGTGGCTGAACAGCCGAGGAGAGAGAGGTGAACATTCATCGAAAGAACATTTGCTGAGTCTCATAGCAGGTCCTGGCAACACCCACCGGAAGGCTACTGTGGGCAGAGAGGTCAGAGGTCTCCCACCCTTTTTCACGTCACTTCACACACAACAAATGGGGAACAGGGGTTCCACCCACAAGCATTTCCTCGGAGTCCCGTATGTTTCTCAGTGGCCCCTCTGCCCGCTAGGTGCAATGCCACCCTCTCTGCCCGAGCAAGGCAGCGGCTTCCTCCTCCTTTGGTGGAAAGGAGCAAGGAGCTTGGTGTGGGTGCCTGTTGGAGCAACAGCACAATGTCTGCTGCAGTGTGAGCTTGTGGTCAAGACCAGCGCAGAAGGGGGACCCCGCGAAGCAGCCACACCTGAGATGTTGTGGGTTCAAGCAATCCTAGGATCAGAGCAGAGCAGAACAGAGCTGGGAGGGGCGCGTGAGGCCATCAGGTCCAACCCCTGCTCAAGGCAGGGCCCCAGGTTCAAGCATCCTTGACAGATGGCTGCCCAGCTGCCTCCTGAATGCCTCCAGTGCGGGAGGGGCCCTCAATCTTCCCTTCCACTGTCCTGCCGCTCCAACAGGCAGCCTTTCCTGAGGCCTGCTGGGAGTCTGGCTCCCGCCAACCTGAGCCCATTATTCTCTCTCCTGCACTCTGGGATGACTGAGAAGAGATCCTGGCCTTGCTCTGTGTGAGGCTCTTGCAGAGGGCGATCACACCGTCCCTCAGTCTTCTCTTCTCCAGGCTAAACATACCCGGTTCTTTCCATCTCTCATCTCAGGGCTGTTTCATCCTCAATGCCCTCCTCTGGACCCTTTCCAGCTTCGCTGCATCTTCCTTAAACTGCGGTGCCCAGAACTGGACACAGCACTCCAGATGAGGCCTAGCCAATGCTAAGTAAAGGGGAACTAGTACTTCACGTGATTTGGAAGTGCTGCTTCTATTAAGGCAGCCCAAAACAGCATGTTTGGCCTGTTTTGCAGCCGCCTCATACTGTTGACTCCTTGTGATCTACAACCATTCTGAGATTCTTCATGCTGAGCCAGGTATTCCCATCACTGGGGACCAGGCTAAGTGGTCTTAGCGGATAAAGTGAATAAAGAAGCCTCTCTCAGGGGTTCAAAGGGTTGTCCGGACAAGATCTGAAGGGTCAAGTTCACCTTCCAGTGGGGTAACCACCAGAAATGGGCTGGGCCAGAAGCATGTCTGCCACAGCAAAGCCCGCAGGCCAAAGGAGGGCTTCTGCGGCACATGAGCACCCGCAGCCCAGTGGTGCCTCCAGCCACAGAAGGCCGATTGGCCCCAGTCCATTCTAGAGGGATTCTAAGGCCTCCCAGATGTGGAGGAGAGTCATGTGTCCATCCTGACACTGCTGAGAAAAAAAACACTCAGGTACTACAGTCCACCCTGGCAGATGACTCCATTCTAGCTGAGAGGATGTGGGACCTGTGCTGCCCCCCGTCATGTGGCTGGGGTCACGCAGAGGGGGGCCGCTGCAGTCAGCCTCTTCTCCTTCAGGAGGCACTGCTGAGCTCCTTGCTCAGCGGCTGTGGCCCTCTGCAGGCGGCAGCTTTCGGCCACACCCCTGCATGCCTGAGAGCAGCCTTCCCCAGGCTGGCGGCCTTCAGAGGTATCTGGACCACCCTTTCCAGACTTCTCATCCAGCAGGACCGCTGGCTGGGAATTCTGGGTGTTGCAGTCCAAACGTGTCCGAAAGCCACAAGGCTGGGGAAGGCTGCCTTAAAGAACGCTGCTGAGCCACAGAAGCATAGGGCCCTAGAACAGCAGAGCGGAAGGGGGCCGGGGGGCAGTCAGGCCCAACCTCCTGCTCAGTGCAGGACTCCAATGACAGTCCACTTGCACCCCAGATGTCTCCGGTGTGGGAGAGTCCATGACCTCCCTAGGTCACTAGTTCCTTTGTTATATCGCTCTAACCGACCGAAAGTTCTTCCTGATGACCAGCTGGATCCTGGCTTCCTGTAACCTGAGCCCATTGTTCCGTGCCCTGCACCCTGGGATGATTAAGAAAAGATTCTGGCCTTCCTCTTTTTGACAGCCCTTGAAGTCCTTGTAGAGTGAGATCACACCCCCCACCCCCAGTCTTCTCCAGGCTAAACATGCCCATCTCTCCATCTCTCTTCACAGGGCTTGGTTTCCAGTCCCCAGATCATCCTTGATGCCTCCTCTGGACCCTTTCCAGCTTGTCTGCATCTTCTTAAATGGGGGTGCCCAGCACTGGACGCAGCACTCCAGGCGAGCCCTGGCCAGTGCTGAGTCGAGGGGAGCTAGCACTTCACGTGACTGGGAAGTGCTGCTTCTATTAATGCAGCCCAAAATACCATTTGCCCTTTTCGTGGCCACATCACATTGTTGGCCCATATTCAGCTTGTGATCTACAACAACCCCAAGATCCTTCTCACTGGCAGTATTGTTGAGCCAAGTAATCCCCATCTTGTAACAATGAATTTGGTTTCTATTTCCAAAGTGCAGACCTTGGCATTTGTCCCTGCTGAACTTTATTCTGTGGCTTTCAGCCCAGCCCTCCCACCTGTCAAGGTCACCTTGAATCTTGGTTCGGTCTTCCAGTTTTGTGTCATCTGCAGATCTGGCGATCCTTCCCTGCACTTCCTCATTCAAATCATTAATAAACACGTTGAAGAGTTCTCAGCCCAGGACTGAATAATGCGGTGCCTCACCTGCGACCTCTCCCAGTTGGAGGAGGTGCCTCGCACAAGCACTCTTGGAGACCGATTCCACAGCCAACTGTGGATCCACCCGATGGTTGACCCACCCGCCCACTTTTTGCTAGTTTGCTCATCCGGAGACCATGGGGCACTGTCAGAAGCCTTGCTGAGGGCAAGACAGGTGATGCCCACGGCATTCCCCCAGTCCGCCAGGGGGCTGCCGAACAGGTAATGGGACCAGGCAGACTGGCCGGGCAGGACTCACGCATCTCGCTGCGCGTGCACGCGCGAGGCCGCAGGGCAGGAGGGAGCAGCCGCCACATGCAAGCACTTCGAAGAAGGTGCCCCTCCCATGCTCCTTCAAGGAGCCCCCCAGTGGGAAGGCAGGAGGCTGCCCTGGGGCACACGTACTTGGCTGAGCTGGAGCACACGCCAGGTGGTGAGCCACCGAGGGAGGCCATGAAGAGCTGGGGGGCCCTGCTCCCCTCCTGAGGGGGCAGCTCCACAAGCACTCGGAGGAAGTGAGGTGGGACACAGGACCCTGATGAGCCTTTGCAGAGCAGCTGAGCCGGGCGCTGCCTCGAACTTTGCTCAGTGCGCCCTGGACGGAGCCGCAGCTTGCCCCGTGCGGGTGCTTGCCAGCGCCAGGCCCGAGCATGCACCTCGCCCAAGAAGGGAGCGGAGGAAACGGACGCTGCGCCGGCTGTGTCTCACAAGGCCCAGTCATCAAGAGGCGGTGCTCTGCTCTGCTGTGGGACTGCTACAGCTGCCATCTGGCACTCCAGCCTGGCGGGACAGCCCGAGGGCTGGGCCAGCAGGCGGCCACTCAGTGCCAAGCAGAGCCGGGCGAGCCTGGAAAGCCAGCAGGCTGGGCAAGCGGCCGATGCCAGTCCGGTCACAGCCTGCGCAAAGCCCCTTACCGTTGAGCATCTCTGGTGCCATCCAGTAGGGGTTCCCCACCACAGTGTAGCGCTTTTTCCGGTCGCTCTTGCGCAAGGAGCGCTTCTTGACTGAGGGCTTTTCCAGGGTGGGCTTCTTCCTCTCCTCTACAATTAACCGGGACAAGCCAAAGTCAGCGACCACCACCGTCTTGTCCTGCAGCCAAGTACAGAGCAGCAGAAGTCAGCAGGAATTCCTCTTGAAGCAGGACCCATCGGGACGGAAAGGCCCCGATCCCACCGCTGGCGGTCCTGTGGGTGAAGCGCAGGCGTGCAGCCAGGGCCTGCGAAGCGCGATGCCACGCGCCATGGCAGCCCTGCGCCCGAGCGTCTTGTTCGGAGGCTGCGGTGAGGTGGCCAGCCACACCCGCCTCGCAGCTGCAGCTGCAACTGCACTCGTGGGACGTCTGAGCCGCAGCGCAAGTGTCTGCCAGCCCCGGTTTTCCCTAAATAGCCCTTCCTGCACTGCTGCCTGTGATGACGGCGAGGGAGGGCAGGAGGCTGGACCCCCACAGCAGGCCAAAGGGGACGCTGGGGGAAGCGGCACCTCACGTCAAGTCCTGGCTCACCAACCACTGGGCCCGCTTAAGTCCAGACTAAGAGGAATCTAAGGGTGGGCTCCTCCTGACAGCCGCACGGCACTCCGACCACCAAGCGGTGCAGCTTTCCCACTTCTTTTGCAGAAACTGCCATTTCCTTACTGGCAGTTGGAGACAGGTGCTGCGACCCGGGGCGTCAAAGGCGCTGCACAGTGTGGGGGGCGCAGAGGCCGGCCCTGCCTGGCGCCCAGCCTGGGGAGCATGCCCCTCGCCCTGTGGCACACCCCCGTGACACGCGTTTCCCCAGATAGTCACGCATGCCTGCAGGCCCAAGGGGTGCCTCCTGGCGCCGCAAAGGCCGCGCGTGGGAGGCCTCCGCGGACCACCAGAACTTCCTTAGGAGCCTGCTCAAGGCGGTGGAGCGGGATCCTCGCACACAGATGCTGCTCTTCTACAGTCACATCCATCCAAGCAGCTGAGCAATCTTACTTTCGGAACAAAAATGGAGGGATCTTACCTTCCCACCCCCGCCCCCACTGACTGAGGAGTCCTGCAGCCTCAGACTAAGGGAGGAGCACGTGCCCTGATCAGGGTGGGGGCGCTGGGGCATTCCTTCCGCTGAAGCTCAGGCAGCCCCCTGCAGGGGGGACCAAGAGACAAGCTGCCGAGCCGCCTCGCTTCCACAAGAGGAAGGGCTGATGGGGAAGCCTTCCCAGCAGGAGAGGGGAAATGGTGGTTGCTCACCAGTTTGATCAGGCAGTTGTGGGAATTCAGATCTCGGTGAATGATGCACATTGAGTGCAGATAAGCCTGCGGGGGGAAAAGCAGGAAAGAGATGTGGCTGCGTGGCCTGCGGCACCACTGTTTGGATGGGAGCAGGCCTCTGGCTCCCGCCAGGCAGCCTCACCAGCCACCCCAGCCCCTGGTCACGGGGCCCTCTGCAATTCCCACTGTGGGCCTCACAAGCAAATGTGGCAGCTGGCCTCGGGGGCCGGCTGCCCACACAGCTCCCAGTGGCTTGCAGCAGGCAGGACCGTGCGGCCCCACCCGCCCAGAGCAGGACCCCACGGCGGAGGGCTGCCGAGGCTGCCGAAAGGTGCTGACTGCCCCCAGGCAAAGCAACATCCCTTGCAATCTTTTCCATGCTGAGTCTGTGTGAGCACTCAAGTGCGGGGGGGGTGCGTCTGGGCCACAAAGACTTCAGCAAAGAGGCACCCCTGCCAGGCACGAGGCCTGCACAGAGACCAGCTCTGGCTCCAGAAAGTAGGCAAACGGCCAGGAACCTGGCACTCTCCAGGTGTGCTGGATGACTGCCCCCGTGACATGGTGTCCGCGCTGGCTGCAAATGATGGGGGGCAGCCCCCCTCACCTGGAGTCCATCAGCTTGGGGAAGCCTGGCAGGAGAAGAGGGGTCCCCCCGCCCCCACCCCCCTCACTCGGCAGTCAAATGTCCTTGGGATGGCTTGGGCAAACGCTTAGCCCAGGCGGCCGGCACGAGGGCAGCTGCTCCCCGGCCGGCCAGGGCCCACAGGCCACTCGACAGCCTCAGGCTCTCTGGGCCGCAGCTCATTCTCCCCGAGCCCCAGGAGACGGCTCCCAGCAGGCAACCTGGAGCACAGCTCACCATTCCTGATGCAATTCCTTTGGCAAAGCTGACTTTCTGCTCCCAGGGAAACGGGTCCTGTGAGGAAAAATGCCACAGGAAGCCAGATATCAGGGCGGGGGGGGGGCAGGGGGGACTTGTGCAGGGCACTGAGCCACTGCTGGACACACAGCTCATCCAGGCAGGTGGGGGAAGGGCCAGGCAAAGACATGCAGGCAGCCACTTGATGCTTGTGCAGGGATCCAGAGGACTTTCCTGGGCACAGCGCACCGGAAAGAGCACTACTGTCGTGCTCTGGAAAGTGCAACCCAAGTCATGGCCATGCCTCCAAACATTGCACTGCGGCCTCCTCTAGCGTGGTAGCCTTTGGATCCACTTGGACTCTAGTACCCACCACCTGCAGCCAGCGTGGCTACTGAGGTCGCCAGATAGGGAAGGCTGCTGTGGTGAGTGCCCAGACAGCCTGACCGTAAGGGAGCAATGCGTGCAAACCTCTCCCATCAGAAGGGACAGTTTAGTTTTAAAAACATATTTCAGAACATCCATTTTCAACCTGATGCCCTCAAGATGCAAGCCCATTATTTAAACTGATGAGTGTTTCCCTGTTCCTAGCATAACCTTTCCTAAGTTGCTGCCCTCTTAGATGTGCTGTCTCATTATTCCCAGCTGCAGTCTGGCTGCAGTCTGGCACATTTGGAAACCAGGTTCGGGAAGGCTGCCTGGGAAGCCTGTTGGATCTTCTAGGGAAAGATCCCCCCTCCTTTTTCATTCTACATGCATCAGCCCCCTCTCATCTGGGGTCCCACAGCGGGTGGGCACTGCACTCACCACGTTCCGGAGGAAGTCCTTCAGGGTCCCCCCTTCAATGTACTCTGTGAGCAGGTTCAGCCTCTTGTCCTTGTACAACACGCCAATGAATTTCAGGACATTGGGATGATCTAAGCTGCGCATCACCTTCACCTGATGTGACAGACAACACCCAAAAAGGCCGAGATGGATCCTGGCCTCCTTCCCCCGCACCCACACTTTTAACCAAACTAACAATACTCCTAAATCACCTCTTACACAGGACTCCTGTCCAGGATGCTGCTGCGGCAGCAGGAAGCCCAAGGAAGTGGGCCTCCAGGGACGGAGGGTGCCCATGCCCAAGCTCTTCAGAGCAGATGCAAGCAGCCCCATTAGGCCTGCTGCGATTACTCCCTACGCTCCAAGTGGGATCAATGCAGTGTGCTGCATGTAAGGCTGTCTTGAGGCAGCTTGGAAGCCGCAAAATGCCACAGCTGGACTAATAGCTAGGAAAAGGCAATCCGAGCCTCCATCTCACCCAGTCAGGTTATCAGACTGGACCGAGCAAGCTGTGCCCCACCAAGGGGGGCTGCTGGAGGCACGACGGTGCAAGGCAGGGCGACGATCCTTGCCCCGCCGGCTTTTGGCTGCACGGCAGCAGAGCAAGGGAGCAAGCATCATCTCTGCCAAGCTCCTTCTGGGGCTCAGTAGGGCAGCAGGCAGCAGAGCAACCGGGCTCCCCAGTTACTTGCCAGGGCGACCAGCCTGAAATGGCTTGTGGTGGTAAGCAGCCTTCAAGGCCTCCATTTCAAGCAGCAAAATCCCGTGGCTTGGTACTGGTTCTCCAGGCCAAGGCGCAACATTAAATGTCAGACAGCAACCCAAATGCACATGCAATGCGCACAGCCTAAAAGTCTTTTGCTCTCCCGGGACACATGAATGCTGACCTGGGCAAGCTTCTGCGCTCCAGTTCCTTATTTCAGATGCTGAAGGGGTAGGTGAAGAACCATGCATAGCTCCCAGATCAGCCTGAACAGGACTTTAACAATGTGTGCATACCTCTGTCAAGAAGGTCTTCTGTGTTTCTTCATCACAACGAATCAACTCCTTCATCACCATCACCTTCCCTGTTGCTTTGTGTGTTACCTTAGCCAAAGTAAAACAAAACAAAACAAAACAAAAAACCCAAGCCTTTACATTAGACTTTTGATGCTTCAGAGAATTTCGCATCTTTCGGAATTTCACCAGAGGCTCTGCAAAGGTAGGTGGGCAGTAGGACCCAAATGATGTGAGCAGCTGCACTTGGGGGATCAGCCCTGTACTCCCACCCCACCTGGCTTCATGCATCACTTCCTGGTTTGCTGAAACCATCCACGCCTTAAGCCATATGCACGAAGAGGTGGGAGCACGCAACCTCTTCCTGAACCTCCAAAAGCAAGCTTTGGCGGACCGCCTGAATGCAGTGTCCTCACAGCGGATGTGTTGCCACAGTGTGGCAGAAGCTGTCTATGAAACTACAATGCAGAGACCACAAACATACACTGACACTCAAACCACGAGCACATAATAGGCACCGCAGCCCCTCGTGTGTTTAATTCCGCCTGATGTATCTGCAGACTTCCAAACAACTTCCAAACCAACCAAAGCAATGCGTAGCAGAAGCGAGAAAGTCAGCCCACAACAATCTTAACAAGCATGGGGAGAGGGAATCACCTTTTGAAACTGTGCTGCCTTTTGGGATCTCTCAGAAACACTCCAGCTTGCTCTTTGAAACATGCTCCTCCTAACCCGCTGAGGCCTTATGCAAACAAGATGCTTTGTCATGGCTGAGTTATGTGCCCGAGCAGCTAAGCCACAGGCTGGAGCACTTGCTAAGACAAAGCTCTGGGGAAGGTCCAGACAAGTTCATAATTGGAAAACGCACAGGATCAGTTTAGAACACGTTTCTTTTTCCAATTACTTTGGGGCTGTTTTCCAGCAATCAAGCACCTGGTCTTCCCAAATACAGATGAGTACTTTGTTAGCTGATAGAATCAGCTCAGCAGATCACTGCAGTTCTGTTGCGCACGAGGGACACGACCTGGTTCGATCAGTGTCAGAGCAATGCTGAGTCAGGACTATGCCACAGGTCCTTTACAGAGCCACAGTAATTTAGTCTCCTTTCAATGTACAATCCAATTTAGCTGCTTTTCAGTTCCAGCCTCTATTAAACTGGAAACAATTTGTGCTGAATTGGAAATAATGACGACAGAGTGGCTCTCAGATTAGCTTTGCTTTTCAGTTGAAGGTTCTGTTCAAGCAGACATTTGGATCGCCAGGGGCTACAATGGAGGAAATGGACTTGCCTTCATGGAGGCAAAAGAACCTCCTGATTATTTTGAACACGGGGCTTTCCGCATCCTTCTTATTCTTCCTAAGTCATGACAGAGTTAACTTGATATTGCTACAGTGGCAGAGTAACAGTGAAATGCATTCTCAAGCAGCTGAGATTGCATGTTATATATCCACTAAGTTGATGAAAACAAACGGACAGGCATTACAGTCTGTGAGGAGAAGAAACCCTGAATCCACAGTTGGGCTACACCTTACCAGGAGATCATCCATGAACGTACTGCTTGGTGTTTGTGTCAGCACTGCATTTACAGAAGGGGCCCATAAGGCCAGTGGGGCCAATCCCCTGCTCAGCGCAGGCCTCCCAGTTACAGCGTCCCTGACAGATGGCTGTCCCACGCCGCTTGACCGCCTGCAGTGTGGGAGAGACACCAGCTCCGCAGGTCATTGGCTCCACCGTCACGCTGTTCCAACAGTCGGGACGTGTTTCCTGGCGTCTAGCCACAATCTGGCATCCTGTAATTCAAGCCCTCTATTCTGTGTCCCGCACTCTGGGAATATTGAGACGCTGGCCCTCCTCAGTGTGGCAGCCTTTCAAGTATTTGAAAAGTGCCACCACATCTCCCCTCAGTCTTGTCTTCTCCAGGCTAAGCACGATTAATTCTTTCAATTTCTCCTCCGAGGGCTTTCTTTCCAGGCCCAGATCTGGACACAGGACTCGAGATGGGGCCTAACTAATGCTGATTAGAGGGGAACCGGTACCTCATGTGTTTTGCAAGTGATACTTGTATTAATTCAGCCTAAAATAGCATTAACCCTTTTTGCAGCCACATCACATCTGGATATTAAATTATATTATGTAGCAAATCAAATGAGATCTATACCAGATGTTATACTACAGCCTAAAAAGGCAATATGGGCAAAATTAGAGTACCAACAAATTGAGGGATCACTTTTATACCATTTTTAAACATATGAGATGGAAGATGAAAAACCCCTTCCTTAAGAATATTGGGCAAATCTGAAAAATGCATAGAACAAGATTTATGTTGACAATCTCACCATGAATCCCAGTCATAGAAATTGAAGGTCTTCCAGAAAACTTGATAGTTTGAGAAAAGTATTGAAGGAAAAACAAGTTTAAAAGTTAAAAACTGGTTGGAGAAAATGAACAAGAAGGAAGGAAAAAAATAATCTGGTTTAATCAGAGCAATGGACTAAAGAATGGATAGAATGGTAAATGTAAATGTAAAGATATTACTAAATTTGAACAGATTGTTTTATATAAGGAGAGACAAAACATGATGCACACAAGGGGAATAATAATTGAGATTTATAAGATTTTATTAGATATGGAGAATCACTATGACTCTCTGAAGGTCTCATGGGAAACAGACTTAGGAGGGGATATAAATAAGGACTCCTTCCTGGATCACTGCCTTGTTGTGGCGAAGGGGCTTCCGTAGCTCAATGAAGCTCTGAGCTGTGCCGTGCAGGGCCACCCAAGACGGACAGGTCATAGCAGAGAGCTCTGACAAAACGTGAGCCACTGGAGAAGGAAATGGCAACCCACTCCAGTACCCTTGCCATGAAAATCCCATGGACAGCACCAAAAGGCAAAAAGATACGACGCCGGAAGATGAGCCCCTCAGGTCGGAAGGTGTCCAATATGCTACTGGGGAAGAGCGGAGGGCTAGTACTAGTAGCGCCAGAAAGAATGAAGCAACTGGGTCAAAGCCGAAAGGACACTCAGTTGTGAATTAATCTGGTGGTGAAAGGAGAGTCTGATGCTGTAAAGATCTATACTCCATAGGAACCTGGAATGTAAGATCCATGAATCCAGGCAAGCTGGATGTGGTCAAACAAGAGATGACAAGACAGAACATCGACATCTTAGGAATCAGTGAACTAAAATGGACAGGAATGGATGAATTTAATTCAGATGACCATCAGGTATATTACTGCGAGCAAGAATCCCTCAGCAGAAATGGAGTAGCCTTCATAGTCAATAAAAGAGTAGGAAAAGCAGTACTGGGATACAATCTCCAAAATGACAAAAGGATCTCAGTTCGAATCCAAGGCAAACCATTCAACATCACAATAGTCCAAGTCTATGCCCCAACCACTGGTGCTGAAGAGGCTGAATTTGACTGGTTCCATGAAGGCCTGCAACACCTTCTAGAATTAACACCAAAAAATGATGTCCTTATCATCATGGGGGATTGCAATGCTAAAATAGGAAGCCAAAAGATAACCGGAATAATAGGCAAGTTTGGCCTTGGAGTACAAAATGAAGCAGGGCACAGGCTGGTAGAATTTTGTCAAGAGAATATGATGGTCATAGCAAACACTCTTTTCCAACAACCCAAGAGACAACTCTACACATGGACATCACCAGACAGTCAACACAGAAATCAGACTGACTATGTGCTCTACAGCCAAAGATGGAGAAGCTCTGTCCAGTCAGTAAAAACTAGACCAGGAGCTGACTGTGGCTCAGATCATGAGCTTCTGGTTGCAAAATTGAAGAAAGTAGGGAAAAGCACTAGGCCACTCAGGTATGACCTAAATCATATCCCTGATGAATATACAGTAGAGGTGACAAATAGATTTAAGGAATTAGATCTGATAGACAGAGTGCCTGAAGAACTATGGATGGAGGTTCGCAACATTGTACAAGAGGTAGCAACTAAAACCATCTCAAAGAAAAAGAAATGCAAGAAAGCAAAATGGCTGTCTGATGAAGCTTTACAAATAGCTGAGGAAAGAAGGGAAGCAAAAGGCAAGGGAGAAAGAGAAAGATACACGCAACTGAATGCAGAATTCCAGAGAATAGCTAGAAGAGATAAGAATGCCTTCTTAAATGAACAGTGCAAAGAAATAGAAGAAAACAATAGAATAGGGAGGACCAGATATCTCTTCAAGAAAATTGGAGATATGAAGGGAACACTTCATGCAAAAATGGGCATGATAAAGGACCAAAATGGCAGAGACCTAACAGAGGAAGAAGAGATTCAGAGGGGTGGCAAGATTACACAGAGGAACTATACAGCAAGGCTATATAGCAAGGGGACGGCATACAAAAACTTTAAATAAATAAATAAACTATATAAGAAAGAGCTTAACATCCCTGATAACCACGATGGGGCGGTCACTGACCTTGAGCCAGACATCCTGGAATGTGAAGTCAAATGGGCCTTAGGAATTCTGACAACAACAAAGCTAGTGGAGGTGACAGTATTCCAGCTGAGCTATTCAAACCCTTAAAAGACGATGCAGTAAAAGTGCTACCCTCACTATGCCTGCAAATTTGGAAAACTCAACAGTGGCCACAGGATTGGAAAAGGTCAGTTTACATTCTGCTCCCAAAGAAGGGCAATGCCAAAGAATGTTCAAACTACCGCACCATTGCACTCATTTCACATGCTAGCAAAGTGATGCTCAAAATCCTACAAGCTAGGCTCCAGCAGTATGTGGACTGAGAACTACCAGAAGTACAGGCAGGATTTCGAAGAGGGAGAGGAACTAGAGACCAAATTGCCAGCATATGCTGGATCATGGAGAAAGCTAGGGAGTTCCTCTACTTCTGCTTCATTGACTATGCTAAAGCCTTTGATTGTGTGGATCACAACAAACTGTGGCAAGTTCTTAAAGAGATGGGAGTACCAGACCATCTTATTTGTCTCTTGAGAAACCTATATGCGGGTCAGGAAGCAACAGTGAGAACTGGACACAGAACCACTGATTGGTTCAAAATTGAGAAAGGAGTTTGGCAAGGCTGTATACTGTCTCCCTGCCTATTTAATTTATATGCA